CCTCTGTGCCCTCACTGGGGCTGGGGTCCTCACTGTACCGTGAGTCCCCTATGAGGCCTCCTCCATCCCCTTATAGCCTCACCCAAACCACTGGTGTTAGAAAAAACTGCAACATAAACTCAAGCCTCTTGGCTACAACTCAAACCTAAGCCACCTGGCTGTACCAACGTTGCTCAGCCATCTTGGAGCTGCTACCCTTTACTCTGCAAGCAGTACCTGCAGTCAGGCTTCTCCTCGTATCATGCTCCAGGAGCCTCTCTTTCTGGCAGAGAGCTCCTTCTGTCTTAGATACCAATCAGCAACTGCCTCTGGTCTCAGCTCCCCCCCATAAGAGTCATGTCTTGCCTCTTATAGCCAGCTGACCGCTGGCAGGTGAGAGTCATTTTCTGCCTCCCGTTGCCCTGGCAACCAGCACCTGAGGAGTCTTCCGGGCTCTCTCAGTAGCAGGCACCTTAGTGTCCTGCTACAGTATTATTTCATTGTTGCTTTTATATTTTTATTTTGGATTTTAAACCACATTTCATTTTCACTTCCTGCAACTTCATTGGTGTCAAAGGTCATGTGACACCACTTCCTGATGTGATACCGCTTCCTGTGAGGTCTTTGAATATGGTTCACCGGCCCACTGGGTGATAAAAAGTTCATGATTTGGCCCCACATTCAAAAACGTTGGACACCCCTGCCTTATGCTTACCTTTGTGTGCCTAAGTTCCCATCATTTAGATTGCAAACTGTTTGTGCAAGTGCTATCCTTTTCATTATCTGGACCAAAAATCAGTGAGGCCCCTGGTTGCTAATTGGAGTGTCAAGGCTTTTCTGTAATAAATGTAATCCAGTTATTAAAACACTTTCTGGCCTGTTCCAGTTAGGTATTAATGCAGTTAAACAGATGGTTGCCAAAATATGCCATGGCAAAATAATATGTTTCTGCTGCCATTTTACTCAAAAGTTGCAGACCATTTTTGGAAGGCTCAATCTTGCTAAAAGCACTTTTGACCAGAGAGCAGACCTGGGAAATGTCAGCTCCAAAATTAGAGTTAAAACAAACTGGAAGGGCTTTTAAAATAGAAGTACTTGGGTAACTGCAATTATGAACATAGAAGTGAGGGAGCACTCTTTCTATTTATTTGTAAAATTACCTATTTTAAAATATTTTAAATCTAAATAACCCTGCTCAACACACGATCAGATCCTGCGTTGCAGATGTACATTGCCTTCAGCCCCAACTTCCTATTTATGCTCATGGACAGTATCAGGCTCCTCATTTTGGTGTCTTGTATATCTGTCAGATCAATGTGAAGAGCCAACAGAGAATTGGGACGTCTGCGTGTGCTGTGCAGTGACAGAGGGCATATGGCCTCAGAGGGAAAGGAAAATAGTTTTAATTATATCATGAGTTTTCTCTCTGTAGCTCAAAGAAGAAAAACTGGTATGTAACATTATCTGTATTGGTACTATGTGACAACTGGTTCATTCAGCAGACAAGGTACCTACCAAGCTAACCTCAACCCACGCATTCCTACTCCTTTGAAGACTGCCCCTACCAACTCTCCATCTTTCATCTTTCTTTTGGAGTACAGTCTCTTAGGAGTGCCGGGGATGATGGAGCTATTTTTATGCATTAAATGATGCCAGAGGGCTTAGGAAGCATTCAGACCCAGATTAGAAATAAAGGAGAGAAAAGTTTTTATATTTAACTCCAGTTGCAAAATGTGCATACATTGGTACAGAGGCCGATGCTTTGTTTTGGTGCAGGCATGAGCTGGGTGACACTAATAGAAGCAGCCGCAGCAATAATCCTAACTAATCCGTGCCTTTTCAAAATACCTTACAAACCTTAATGAATCCTTCCCAGCCCTTCTGGAGCCATGGCGAGAAGTCTTATCCTCAGGATGGGGAAGATGAGGAAAAGAGGTCAGTGGCACTAGGCCTGTTTCAGGGACAGCTGCCATTCCCAAACCACCAGAATGCTTTTACATGCAGGCTCTTCCGGGGAGACTGTGAGGCTCCAGGCAACAGCTGTGCAAAGCCGGAGGGCACCAGCTGCTGTGAGGATGCTGGCAGGCAGCAAAAGGCGAGGGAGTGCCCATAGGAGGCCTCTCTCCAGCAGCCAGCTTCAACGGGGCAGAGGGGAGCCAGTGCCAGCAGAAAGGAGGGCAATAGAGGGTCTCATGGCTGTGCTTGTTGGTTTGCCAGGGAACTGAAGTAGTGCTGACCTAAGCCTCAGACTCGGGTTTCTCAAGCGGGGTGCCTTGAGATCCTTTCAAGGTTGCCTCACAACCAGATAAACAAGATATTTAGGGTCAGGAATTAATTTTACCCCATGGTCAGATTGGTATGGATTGTGGGGGGGGGGTTGCCTTCCCTGGCAGGTGGGGCTCTCTTGAGCATATAGACAGCATTTCATAGAGGCAGGACATGGGCTGCTGTGTTCCCCTGCTTTACCTGTGGCAGGTTTGGGCATGAGGTCTGTGTTGTGTCAGGGTTGAAGGCATCTTATGCAGAGTTTAGATGATGGTTGTATGGGATGGTCTGGGTAGGGCCGATCCTGCCTCAGGCAGTGGGGTGGACTAGATCAGTGTTTCTCAACCCGTGGGTCGGGTCCCAAAAGTGGGTCACAGGAAGATATGGAAGGGTTGCGAATAAACTTAAAAAAAATGGATCAACAAACTTTAAAAATGGATTCTCCTCTTTTAAGGAGAAAAATGTGGGAAACCGTGGCTTTTCCCTTGCAGGCTGGCAGAGCTCTAGCCTGCAAAGGGCTGCTTGGGGCTTCCCCTGCGCTGCCCCACGCACTGGGGGTGAGGGGCAGTGGGTTGGGAGTGAGGGGCACTGAGTCAGGACTGGTCATTATGGGTCCTGGTACAAAAAAGATTGAGAACCACTTGCCTAGATGACCTCTGGAGGTCCCTGCCAGCCCTGCTTCTATAGGTGGCAGAAGGCCGGGATAACCAGCTAACTGTGCAACAGCTGCTCCGATGCCGTGAGGTGTGCTGCCAGACCAGTGCCCTATGGGTGCTCAGCCCTGCCGCTCCAGCACCACCACCACAGGTACCTTTAAGAATAGAGGACAGTTGCATTTAGTGAAATGTCCCTACCACCATGAACGTTGTGTGCCTCCTGAGGCGGGGAGGGCCTGGCGAGCTCCCGCAGGCAGCTGTGGTGGTGATGGCAGCGGGGGGGGGGGGGGAATAGAGGACATAAAGGGTGTCCATTTGACCGGTTTCGTATCAGTAGAGGACACCTATCAATAGGTGGCCGTTGGTCCGGTTTCATGTCACTAGAGGGCCAGAAAAGCACCCTAGCTGCTGCGCCTCCTTTCCACTGCCAGCAGGTGTGGGCCCCAAAGCACCCAAAAGCAGCACAGTAGAAATATCTTTTAAGTTGAAGTTTTTCTCAGTCCCCACAAACAATATTTTCTCCCTACCCATGCCTCTTTCACTGCCCGTCTCGGAAGCCCGGGGTTCCCAAGAGGAGCCCG